GAGACATGCATGTGGCATACGGAACCCGCATGGAGTTGGAGAATGATGAGGCATTTGGCTTCTGTTGATAAAAAAACACCAATACACGCTGGGTACAATAAATAGTCATTTTATATCATTCAAACTAAACTTAAGAAACTATGCACTAAGTACTCTTATGAATTAAAATATAAATAAAGCTGCGTTTATGAAAGTCGTGTGACTAGATGTGAATGCAGACATCCATTAAAAACCAACACATTAGTTGTTTACTTCACCAAAGCATTTGGCTCATCTAAATACTGCAGACAAAAACTTTCACATAGCTGAATTATGCCACAATTCCTTTGCCTTGCTCTGACTGTTTATTATTGAACCTCTTATTCCCTAATGTTTTGATTCATACGATGCCTATGAAATAAACGGAATAACAAGTTAAGGGAAAAAAATTACATTTTCCCTTTTTTTCTGTACTTTCATTTCCACAGTAAATAGTTTGAGTTACTGCAAAGGATTCATTTAGTTAGTTATTCATGTGTGAAGGTAATCCAGCTCAATACTAGCTCTGCAGGATTATGAAATCTGTCTCATGGCATGACTGTCTAACCTTGGTATAGTGACAGTGCAAAAGCAATTGTGAAATATTAAATGGTGTATGGAGCCTATAAACATGTCTGTCCCTCTTCAAAAAAATATTTAGATTTATATTTTCTCAATTATATATTATTTGATAGTTTATATTTCTGATACCTTATGAAAATTTGAGCAATCTACTCACGAGATGGGTCATGGGTTATTATTACTGTTGTCGTTGTCAAGGACTACTTGTTTATAAAACACTTGGAAAATGAATATTGCTCTTGCTTTTTCTCTTTAGTAATATTCTACCTTATGCTACTGTGCCTTATAATGAAATGCAACTGCACAAATGAATTCTGATCCTTTTCTGGGTTGATCCAACCTCTTGAGCTGATAAAGAAGCTTAATTTTTTAATTTGTTACTGATTTGTCTGTGTTTGTGCACTCTTCTGCAGAAATTTCGTCTTTGCATGAATCAAGTACTGTTGCTAGAGAGCATGGTGTTCTTCAAGGTGAATGGTTTAGGCCATGAATTAAAAAACTAAGTACAATATACATCACACAGTGCAAAAATGTTAGTGGGGCTGCTTTATATTTTACAATGATGCTTTCCACCATGACCTGAAAATGTGGCTTGACCATTCGAGATATTGGAATGGACGACTGATTTGCAGTTTTGTTGTGTTCCTTTTCTTCAACTTTTAGGTAACTTTTGCTGCATACGGTATATTTTGCTTTCACGAGTAAAGCCTAGAATCCGATAAAAAAGAAATGGCCTAAAAAAGAGGAAGCAATGAAAATGGAGGAAGTGATGTAACAGAGATTTAATGATCCAGTGATTGACTTTATAAAAAAGCCGAATGATAATTCTTTATAGGACCTTTGAGGAATGTCTGTTCAGCTGCATGGTCATGGCTGAATGAGACAAAAACTAACATGATCTCTTAGTGGCCCATCAAACAAACAACTTTTGAATTGGAAGCACTGGCTTATGAAAAAACCATGAATGGTCCCCTCTTTTCATTTCCAGTTCATAGGCAATAATCATCATTATTCAATGGTTATGGTTGATCACATGAATCACGATAACCAGCATAAACATATATCACTCTCTATAAAAAAATTTACCCGTCCATTATATAAAGTGTGAAAGATAAGCATGGGATTTCAAATAGATCATGCTCTATATAGTAAGTGCCCTTAATTTTATTTTTATAGACGTGTTAGACAGTTTTTCAAATAGATTGGTTTGGTAGGTAGAACATTATCTGATGTCAAACCTTGTAAAAGAATAATTAAGCGATTATTATTTTTATATGCTACAAATGTTTATATAAGAGCAAGCTTTGTTAAAAATAAATGTAATTACTCATTTAATCAATATTTATGCAACTTAATAAAGTGACAAGTTTGGTCCCTAGAGTAAGTTAAGACGACAAAACATACCCTAATCAGTCTAGACAAAGTGGACCCAGCTGTTTAAACAGTCCTAATTGTTCACGAATTTGACTTGGTGGTTTGTTTACAGGTCTATGTAAACTGAGGCAAAACTATTTGCACAATTAGGTATATAATTGGTCGCAATAATTATTATGCGAGTGATTATGACCTGTACACATGAATGTCGTTTAAATTGTAAAGAAATGGGTGTAGAATCCAAGAAAAATGTGTCGATGCTCCGAAGGGGATAGTATATTTCTTGACTTTATTGAAGCTAAGAACCCACTTTCATTGGGTGGTCCTACAAATCTGCGGGTGGGATTGCCTTCATCCAATATCTTTCATTAACCTTAACTACACTTTCCACCAAATCATACGTATTTTACACACCTCAAGTCTCTATTTTCAATCTATACACACCCAACATGCACCCATGTTTTCTATGTATATTAAATGCGTGGATTTTTATTCCGATTGCATAAATATAAATTTAGTTTATAATTTTTTAAAAGTAAAAATTATTGTTAGATAAAAAAATAAAAAATAGCTAGGCTGAGAGATCTTCTGGATTTAAATATATATATATATATATATATATATATATATTATGGAAATTATTATAAATAAATTACAAATATTTAAAATATAATACACTTGTTTTATTGTATTGATCAATTTAATTATAGATATAACACGTGAAGGACTAATCTGGTTGAGAATGACTTTAATACAACTATAATAGATATTATAATCGTGTAATCACGATAGTTATTATTTTTTAAGAATTGAGGTTAAAATAATTTATATATTTTTAATTTATCAAAATATTAAAAAAAATTATAATAAACCAGAATCCAAAACAAATAATATTTTAAAAATAATAATAATAATCTCTTTCCCCTAAATAGTATAATAGAAAGTTAATATTACTTTTTAATAAATGCGCATGAAATAAATCGAGACATATAAATAGGAATGAGGAAGTATAATTCATTTGAACATTCACTATCCGATGAAAGATTTATCCTGAATTCAAAAAAATTAAAGAATCATAGAAGATAGAAAAAATAAAATAAAGATGAGATGAGAACATTGAAATTATGAAAGAAGAGAACAATTATGTTAAGTGGGAAAAAGTTGATATAATTATGTCTTGAATTATTATAAAATCACTTAAATTATATTAATTTTAATATATTTTTCTTCTAATATAGGATGAATTTGAGAATACCTTGATACAAGAATAAGAAGCATAATTGTCAGCATAATTAGAGTAAAATTGAAAGAAAGAAGAGCGCTTAAGCGAATGAATAATGCAAGGTCCGACCCAAATTCTCTTATAAAAAGATAAGTTGTGTTTTGAGAAAAACAAATAGTCTTGGAAGAGAGGAGACACAACTACTGTTAGGGTTTTGTCTAATTTTCATCAATTCTTCATTTCTTCATCAATTGGAACATTGTAATGGCCAACATGAGTGACTAACTTCATTCTATTAGGATTCGGTGCACTTCCTTTAAACTCTTTTGTATCATGGTAATATTTTGAGATATTAATCTATGTTGTGATGTTGTTATTCTTATCATTTATGCTTTTGAATGATTTATTCTTGATTGTTTAAGGTATGATTGGAAAATATATCTTGAACCCTAGATCACGGTAAGAATATTTGTTACATTAATTGTCAGAAATTGAATGAATGTATCAATTGCTTAACACCCTAACCGTAATGCTGGAAAATCTGTTAATTGTGTGAGGAATTAACATTTATTAGGTTTTCTTATGAATTTCATGTGTGAGGAATCAACATGGATTATTTGAGTAGGTGACATCAACATTGTTAGGTTAATTGACATAATTATTACAAAAGAGGGATAAGAAAGAAGTCAATCCTAAGTACCTTTAATTGATATTTTTTTAACAATTTACAGTTCTTTGTCATTTAATTTCAATTCAACTCTTATTTGGAAAACTCAATCTATTTTAATTTACTTAATAAAAATAATTAAGAATTTTGATTGAAATCATTCCTTATGGGATCGACTTTTATTTAATCGAAATACTATATCTGCAATTCATAATTTTTTGTTAAGATGGCGAATAATTCCACAAATTATTATCCTTAACTAACCATGCGCGTTCAATTGCTTTTTCTTAACCCGAACGGTTAGTTAAAATTAGAATGTTTGTCCAAGTAAAATAAATAAGAAAAAACATAATTTACAAACTCAGTATATACCATAATACCACACTTTCACTTTCTTGTTTGGATAAGAGCGAAAAGCTGATAATAAAAAAAGGAAAATGCTGATTATTATAGAAAATACCTTTTTATAATAATAAAAAAAATCATTTATCTAATTTATTACTATTTTTTATCTAAAAAAATTACTTTTAGTTCGTTTAGATCTTCGTTTTCTTTTAGTTTATTTTCTAACTTTTTTATTTTTGCTTTCCATCATTTCGTCGAAATGAAGTTGCTTTGATTTTGAAAAGAAAAACAAAGGAAAAAATATATGAATGATAACCATTTAGTTGAAGAGAAAGGAGAGGAGAAGATGAAAATCTCGACGGGATAATAATTTTTTAACACAAAAATAAAAGAATAAAGGAAAAAATTACAAAACGGAACACAATTAATTAATTATTATGACATAAATAGAAATTATGTTTAAATATATTTGATGGAAGTCTTTTATCGCGGCGGTCAACAAGGGAACTCCACAATGATCCTCGTGACATAACATGCCTACATGTTGCATGACGTGTGAGTACATAATGGGGACATGATGATGAATGCATGGCATGAAATATGAACAGTCTTTGCCTTTTGATTCGTTTCTAGCATCCGTTAATTAATTAATGAGAGGAGAGAGAGAGAAAAAAAGGGGGGAGGGAGGGAGTGAGTGGTGTTTGAAAGGACATCGGTGCGCCGCCGCAGTGAATGGAGGGGAGACGGCGCCACCATAGGTAGGACAAAAGAACAGGAAGAGGAGCAGCGACAATGACAAACAGAAAGGAGGGAGGGAAGGAGTGGAAGAAAGGATCAAAGAAAAGACCTAACTACGTTTTCGTGTCTGTGGTGTGTGTCTGTGTGCACAATGTGTTTTGGCGTAAAGGAAAGGGAACAAAAGGAGGTGCGTTGCGTTGCGTGTGACATTGTAAGAGAGAGCAGCGTGACGTGTGCGGTGCCGACAGATTCGGTGGTGATGGGGCTTCTCGCCAGAAACACGCCACGTTTTCCTCTCACCATGTGGGCCCCAGGAGGCACCGCCCCATAACAATAATAAAAAACATAGTAAGAGGAAGAAAATGGGACCACATGAAAGAAGGGTCAAATCAGACACGGCTCAGAGAGAGATAGAGAGAGAGAGAGAGAGAAAGAGTGTTGTGTTGTGTTGGTGTGAAATGACGGCCGGCTGGGCGCAGGTGGAGCAGCTTCAGTGCTGTGTGCTCTGCTTCCCCGTGACGTTTTTTTTTTTTTTCTTATATTTTAATTTTATCTGTCACTGTTAATACTATTAAAAAATATTAACAGTTAAATGAGTTTTATATTAATATTTATAGGAATGGTTTGAAGAATAGTGTATGTAGAGAATGGGGGTGTTGCGTGTGGGGGAGGTGGTGGGGTATTGTACTTTTCCAGTTTTGCGTCTTTTTGTCACTCAACTGTGTGCTCTTAATACTTTTCTGACAACTGGGTTTGAATCGGTCACATTCTTCGTATAATAATATCACTCACTGCTTCACCTCACAAAAACCCAAGCTAGCCCCCCCTCTCCTCACACCCATTCCATTTTCTGTCAACTACAACTTTTTTTCGTTTTTTTTTTATTCATAAAGATAATTTAACTATTTCAACTACATTTTTTCTATTGAATGTTTTTCGTGTCGCAGCCACACACTACGTAGTCTTCCTCACATCTCTATCAACGTATATAAATATATATAATAATACTTTAAAAACTTATCCTGTGTCGGCGAATACCTTATGTTAAAAAGCAAATTATACTTCAAATTATAGACAGTGATTAAAAATTATAAGAAAATAAGAATGAAGAGTGTAGTGTATGGAAATAAAAATAAGCATGGAAAGGAACAATCAACTGGCTTTCTTCATTTTCTTCAGTCACATCCGTAGGCTTGGATGCATCTATGTTTATAGTTTGACCCCATAAATGCAAACCCATGCCTATTCCACCACATTTCGTTTCCTTTCTCTTCCTCACGTAAAGTAACTGAGACAAGATCTCCATTGCTTATCATGGTATATACAATCTAATTTAACACTGGCTGAAATGAAAGGAATATGACACGAAAGTAAAACAGGGAAAACAAATTCAAACAACAATTTATCTGAACGTCTTGTTACAAAATGTTTAAGAAATTAGTAAAAAAAAAGTCTAATGTAGCAAGACGTTTAAAATTAAAAAATATATATATAAAGAATTATTTGTTGATTGTGGAAAAAATGAACTGAACTGCTAATATTTAACCGTTAAATTTGACAGTGAACTAAACGCACATATAAACTATTTATACCCTTTTATATTAATTTACAATGATTTTACATCATCTTTCATTCGTCACTGACCTTAAATGCGAAATACTTTCCCATTCCAACCATAATAAAATCCATCAACATTTCCCATAATCTGGTAGTTGAACATCATTTTTTTTTGTTCAGGTTATTCTTTCATGCTAATTCCATCGTTTAAAATTGAAGTTTGAATCTCTAACCATAAATTAAATTCCATCGAAGATAATATATTGAAAATTTTGCTAGTTTGAATGTCTATTCATAAATAAAATACCATCGTTTTTTTTAGATATTTGAACATGGACGGAGTGTACTAATTAATGTTCTGCTCTGAACTAAAATCGAAGTTATTAAGACATATATGAACAGTTAGAAAAAAGTGATTGATATTATAAAGGCAGCTAAAATTTGTTGGTGTAACAAGTGATGGATAAGAAATGATAAATGAAAATGCGGGTGATTTGATATCACAGAGAAAAGGCAACTTTTAAAAGCCGGCATATTAACAGTGCGCCGGTGCCTGATTCCTCCAAAATGCGCTCCTATTCTACTTCACCATTTCCTCATAAATAAATTATTGCTATTAATTACGCACACTGTTTCCTAGTTGTGTTTGGCCACTTATCCAAAACACTCTATAGGTTAGGTTTTCATCAACTTTGAAGTATATATATACAGAGAGAATAAATACAAAGAGCATAAAGGTCACGCGCTTTGATAGCGAATGGGTCTAAGGGTTGTGGGAAATATACGCTGCAAAAATGATAAGAAGCAGAGGTCTGACTAGAAAAGGAATGCCATCATGCTGATACCCACACGCTCGCTTCGCAGTTCCCGCTCCCCACAGAAAAAAGCACTCCCACGCGCGCGTCTCAAAGCACGCGCGTCCTTTCTCTTTCCCAGGTGGTCCCAACCGCATCAACGGTTCTCAATCCCACCTCGCTTCGCTTGTCTACTACGCCGCCCAACATTCCAAAAGCGCCAAACCCCAATAAATTAACCACACTTTGCATCAATATATCCAACATAACCACAACACTGCACAACCAAAATTTTTAAACCACACAATCATGTAAAAACGGTGAATATTTTCTACAACAAAAAACCACTCTAATTGGGTCCGCGAATTAACACAGTAGTACGTACCGATACAAAATTCGTAGAGTCATTGATAAAGAAAATAAATGTATATACAATATCATAGCGTTTTTCTTCCATTAACCTAATGTTAGATAGACTCACATGGACAGATAGATACGACTCCGTCTACGATAAAAGTACAACGCTAATAATAAAAACCTAAGCATGGTGAGGGAAAATTTAAAAACATAGCAGATAAATTAGATACGAGGGATCGCAAAACGACGAAAAACAACCTAGTCAGAACTTCGACGAACAACTCATAGCCACAACGGTGGAGGCTCGTTCAAGTCGATGGGGATCCCGCGTCGAACGAGTCCCAAATACGAAGCCGTTTGGGAGCTCTCTACGACCTGACCTCCGCCACCGAGGGGAACACCTCCGTCCGTGCGGCGGAGAGCGGCGGCTGCAGGGGGAAGAGGCTGCGGCGGTTCGATGTCTTTGAGAACGGCGGTGTGGAGGAACTCGGTGAGGACGAGGGTGCGGGAGGGAACGTTGGGCCAGCGGTGATCGGAGGAAGGAACGTTGAGGTCGAGACAGAGGGAGGGTGCCGGGGGGAAGTTGGTCTTGGCCTTGGCGCCGCGGAGGGAGCGCGCGGCGCCGTCGTAGGCGAGGGCGGCCTCCTCGGGAGTATCGAATGTGCCTAACCAGACACGTGTCTTCTTCCAGGGGTCACGTATTTCGGCGGCGTAGCGTCCCCAGGGTCGCTTCCTCACACCTCTGTAGTGCCCCTCGCGAGAGCCCGAAGAAGAAGACGACGCCATCATGAAACCAAACCAAAGTACCAACTCAAACTCAAAAAACGTTAATGAAAAGGGAACAAACACAACAAATGACTATGTGTGTATATAAAAGTGGGGGGACCCACATAACCTCCCGTAATTGTCGGCTGGCCGGCACCACCACACTACCCTTCTCTCTCACTCTCTCTTAGCTTTCCCTTGCCTTGCCTTTTGGTTTAAATATACACGTACACACTCACACAGTCAGTCGCAATTTTGGATAAAATGGCCACTTTAAATTGGAGCCATTGATGTTGATCAGGGGAGAGGGTGTAGAATCGACGGTTTATGATTGAGATTGTGGAGCCGCCGCCTGATGAGACGTGTGGGAATAGGGAGTGACGTAAGCCCTACTGAATCTGTACGGCTTTTGCTGAGCGGCGCCTGACATTATTTTTAGTTAATTAAGTATTATTCATAAATTATTATAATAATAACTATTATTATTATAACAATAATATCACTTGTAGTAATGCGTGTGTGTTATGGGATTGTGATTAAGAATGAATGAAGATTGGGGGAGGGTAGGGTGTGTGGTTTCTGGGAATTTGAGTTGACGTAATGAAAGGGAAATAGAAAGAGAAATTGGTGGGTGAGGTGGGAGAGTGGGATTGGGAAGAGAGAGTGTGGGGTTGGGGTTGGTGCAGTGACAGAGACTCCCACGTGGAAGAGTGTCTGAGTTGCAGGGAACAGGTGGTGTTGGGCCACACACACTCTCTCTCTCTCTCTCTCTCTCTCTCTCAATATGGGCTTCTCTGATCTACTTGGCGTGTTTGACTCTGTTGGGCTCTGTCCTTTCTCTCACTTTAATAACACACATAACCCCAATCTCTTTATTATTACTATTTTCTTCAATGTTACTACTACTGTAAAATAAATTATAAATAATAAATATAAAAAGTGTGAGTGGTGAAAGACAGGGGTGGGTGTTCAGACATCAGACTCACTGCACCAAGCAGACGGGCACAGTTTATATGCCTACACATACAGATACGGATGTAATAATGTAATCATGTTCACGTGAATCCTATTCTATTTACTTTCTTTTTTCTTTTTTCTTTTTTCTTCTCCTTTCCTTTTTCATATTTCTCTTCAATTTCTCATCCTCCTCATTACTACATGGAAAAAGTTAGCATGCATAATTAACCTCCACACATTTCATAATTGTTACATTCCAAACACTCGATGATTCATAAAATAAAGAAAAGAGTTAACTGCGGCATCAAGTTATCGGCACACATTTTTGGTGGTGGTGTTTGGACCATCTTTGGATGATTCTCTCCCTGCACGAGGACAACTGGTTTTACCTGTTTCATTTAATTATTCATTTGTTTTTGTGATTTTCAAAATTTGCCTTTTGGTTTCACTTTGTATACTCACTCTATCACCCTGGTGACGATGATGACGGCGACTTTTTTATCTGTTCCTTTTTGTGTGCTCCGGTGGATGTTTTTTCACTGCTGCTCACTTTGTTGTGTCTATCAAACAACTCGCCTGCGTCCATGTTTGGTTTACACTTGTAAACCCAACTTCAACGGGCACAAAAGATACAAACCCATTCATTCTCTCCAAAAAAACTACTATTCTTCTACCTTCTACACTTACATTACCAGTATTACTATATATACTTTGTTTCGATACAATTTCAATAAATATTATTTATTTTTTCGGACCACTTATAAAAACTTACTGAGAAATGGAATATACAAATTTACTTAAATGTGATAAAAAAAATGTTATTTCAATGTATAAATTTTTATTAGCATGTAATTTATTACAAGTAGATAAAAGTTTTAATATTATTTCGATCCAACTATACTTTAGGCCAAGTTTGGACCAGTGGACCTACTAAGATAGGGATGGGACATGCAGAGCTAATAGGTTAAAGAATCCCTTAGACAAAAATAACTAACACAACCAAAAGAGACTCCTAACAATTTAGTCATATTCTGAATAATTATACTCTCATACTAAGTAAGATAAACGTTGGTTGTATCACAAATCGAACTCTCTTGTCTAATGTTGTTAGTTACGTGAAGAGGAAGAAAACACTTATTTCACCACCTCATGTATGAACCATATTTTAAATCATTTTATATATGTTTATCTCAACTAACGTCACCGCTGTAATCTTTATAAATAATCTTCTTTTACACAGCCAATTAAGAAGATATCAGAGAGTAGAGTGAAGTTACTACATTTTTTTTAAGAGTTGGATATTCAGTTTAAATTTTAAATACAAAATAGAGAATCATTTTTTTCTAAAAATTTTGAAAGTCTTAGAAATAAAAAACTACAACAAAAAGATTTCCTGTAATAAAGAATAGCATACACAAATACATTATTTTGTTTAGATTCACTTTAATTATTATCAGGTAGTTTATTAGATACTTTAAATGCTATTTTACATTTTTAATCAAGTCATCAAATTTCTACTAAATTGTAAACTTCTTGACAATATTTAAAATAATTTGTTAATCATACTGACTTTATGGATTTTTTAGTTTCAATTTTTATATGAATCATTTTTATTTCTTTTTTATTTCTACCTATATTATTTTTCTTTTAAATAAAATGTTTGCTTTTATATATATATATATATATATATATATATATATATATATATATATATATATATATATATATATATATATATATATATACTAGAGGTTTGTAGAAAAATAAAATAAATTCAATTGATCGATCTAGTCGATCTTTAAAAATTGCCATTGGAAAAATTTGATTCCAAAAGCTGGAGAATCAGGTTGACTGAAATTTTAAATGACCGTACTATTGCGGAGTCCATGCGCACAATTTAACAAAACGAAACGTAGTACTTATACGTTTTACCCTCTTGTTCATAATACTGATACATGTAACTATATTTATCTTATTATTATTTAGAAAAATGTATTCTTTAATTTATTTATTACATGCTCATTTTTTATAGTTTTTTAATTTGTTAAATATTTAATTAAATAATTACATATTATAAAGAAAGTTATAAAAAATAAAATATGTAACAAACCCTAAAATTATAAACATGAAGTGTATGAAACATACAAATTGTTTTACAAAATAAGATTTATTCCCTGTAAAGAAACATATACATGTAAGATTCTTTTAAATGAAAATCAATAAAAAAATCCTAGTAGCTTTTTCCTTAAATGGATGTCTAACACTTACCCTAATTAATATTTAACACCTGCTTTCACATATAATATCTATAAAATATAAATTAAGCTAATTATTCAATTTTAATTATAAGAATTTTATTTTTTATAAACATATATTTATATATTAAAATAGTTTATCGTATTATCACCTCATTATTTTTTATTTATATCTAAAAATTTAGATATTAAACTCAAATTCTATATATATATATATATATATATATATATATATATATATATATATATATATATAACATCATAATTTCTTGAAATATTTAATATAAATAATACTTATGATGGTATACACACTATCTTTATAAAGGAAAAATTTCAAGTTTTTATTATTAATGAATGTACATCTCAAATGAAGTAAAAGAAATTCTTTTACTCTCGCCAATTATTCATTTCATTTATGTGATTACTATAATTAAGATGTCTCTTATTAAATATATAATTCAATGGTCACACACCATATCACATTCATATTAGAATATTTTATTAGTAATCATTTATACTTTCAGAAGATACATTCTCAAACCACAGCATTCTAGCATTACATATATTTATCTCTTAATTACATATTCCACATTCAAATATATTATATCATATAAGAATCAAATTCAAGATTCGTTCATTTAATTAAGTATCGTAAGGAAATCATTTTTAGATTCATCATTTATCGCTAAAATGTTTTCACTCAAGTAGAAGTATAACGAAAATTTACTCACTTAAATGAAAATTTCATTGTTTTAGTGAAAAATCAACTGAATCATACTCATTCCACTTGTTTTAGCAAAAAATTGTTCTTTGAAAGATAATGAACTTGAAACCACATTATCAAATCTAGAAGTCTCACCACTCAACTGATAATCTTTTACTTAATAAAAAATAATACAAATATAAGAATTTATATAACTTGCTAAAATAAATTCTAATGCATACCAAACATTTTTAACAATCCTACTTGAATTTCTATAAAAATACAATAGTAATTACTATCCTAATTATATTTATTCTCCATTCATTCAAGCAACCACGATTCTATAAATTTTGAACTTAACTTAAAATCACTAAATTTACAACAGTGTTTTAGGTTATAAGCAACAATTAATTTCAACTTTCAACTTAACCCTTGCAAAACAGCCCAAATAACTATCTCACTCAATCACATTCAAATCCTTTATCTGAGTAGTATAAAATTAATAAAGAACTAATTTTCCTTATTTTTGTGAAGTCATAGGAAGTCAAATTTTGATTGTAAGAACTTTTAATCAATAAATTGATATGCTACTATATTTCTAATCAATAATTTAAACATGGAAAAAATCTAACCCCACATACAAAATCCTAACCCTACATATAAAATACTTCCAAAAAAATAAAGAGATTTACTAAATTGAGAGGTCTGATCACACGTAATTATTATACTTCATTTCAAAAACCAAAAAAGAAAAATCTTAAAAAGAAATCAAATAAACTTTTTTAAAAAATAATAATTTTATATAATAAATTTTGAATAATTATATATTTTAAACTTAATCAATAAAAGATCAAACTGAGAAATAAATTTTATTCTTTAATTTAATTTAAGTTTTCTTCTTACCAAATAAATATAAAACAATAATATTTATAGAAACTTACAAATACGTTTTTTTTAACTATATCGTGTTATTGTCGGTAAATGATAATAAAATGTTGAACTGAATCTTGTATTTATTAAATTAATTATTGATAATTTATATTATTTATGAAATTATCTTGATATTTAAAATTAATTATTTTTCTCTTGTTACTTAAAAGTAAAGGTAA